TGTTAAACCTAGTCAAGACATTGTTAAACCTAGTCAAGACATTGTTAAACCTAGTCAAGACAATGTTAAACCTAGTCATGACAGTGTTAAACCTGTTAATGAATGTTAAACCTAGTCATGACACTGTTAAACCTAGTCAAGACAATATTAGACCTGTTTACGAATGTTAAACCTAGTCAAGACAGTGTTAAACCTAGTCAAGACAGTGTTAAATCTAGTTATGACAGTGTTAAACCTGTTCATGAATGTTAAACCTAGTCATGACACTACACGATGCTGTCACCAACAACATCATACTTTAATACATGATGCTGTCACCAACAACATCATACTTTAATACATGATGCTGTCACCAACAACATCATACTTTAATACATGATGCTGCCATCAACAACATCATACTTTAATACACATGATGCTGCCATCAACAACATCATACTTTAATAAACGATGCTGTCACCAACAACATCATACTTTAATACACGATGCTGTCATCAACATCATACTTTCATACACAATGCTGCCATCAACATCATACTTTAATACATGATGCTGTCACCAACAACGTCATACTTTAATACACAATGCTGTCACCAAGAACGTCATACTTTAATACACGATGCTGTCATCAACAACAGTGTACTTTAATACACAATGCTGCCATCAACAACAGTGTACTTTTATACACAGTATGTACTAAATAACTGTATTAATTAAATAGCTTAAATATTTGTCTAAACTTTTATGAATATTTAGGTTTCTTTTTTCCTGTAACACACACAGCCTGTTAAACTAAGTACTGCACAGCATTATCTCCATTACATATATTTGTGAGTTACTTTTATTCTCACCTCCAGATGGCCTTTCAGTTTCAGAGGTAAGGTTTCCATAATCAGATAAGAATCAGGATCAACTTCTGAATAAACTTTATCCTCACTCTTGTTAGGACGTTTTGACCAGGAGCTGCGCCACTCTGCATAGTTTCGTGAACACATGCATCGATAAAGGACAATTAAAATATAGACAATAAATAAAATGCTTGGAATTGACAGTGCCAAAGTAAATGCAACTTCTGATGGAGTAGATGGGTACGGAACATCAGACACGGGTCCATCCTCTACTTCTGAAATAATGTTTATTAATGTAAAACTATTACACCAATGCAGTGTTTAAACAAAAAAACATGATTTTCAGCATTACTTCTATTTTTACTATACAAATACAGTTCAATATTTATATTCTATTGTCTTTTCTTGTGTTACACAAAATATAGAAATATTGTACGAGAATAAAACTAACCTCCCTGTTTTACTAATGCTGCACATTACATACATGTTTTGATTACTTTTACATTTGAGTTGTATATTACTAAAACCCATGGCTTCACTAAAATATCATAAGAAGCAAACATTACAATATCATGGGACATTCTTTAATTTTCCTATTGAGTAAAAAGTTACATGTATTTTCTGATATATTACAAATATATAGAATCAATAATTACATGTAGCAATGTTACATATAGTCATGCAAAAAAGGACATAACCAGATGACCTATCATGTAACACACTATTTGCATACTGCATTGTCTCATTGTGGACAAATCAATAAAAACCCTCTAACCCAAGTGCTTTCCAAAAGTGGACCTTTCTTCATAAGGGACAAACTGGACAAAGATATTGGTCTATTAATAAAGTTCCAGGGAAGTACACACTGCAGACTGAATATAACATGTTCTATATTGTGATTATAAAGTACCTTCCGTATACATAACGATTTACATAACACCCAGCACCATATTTTCCAAGCTGGCCAAATGAAGAGAAATAATTCTCAGAGTACATACTCCATGATGGAAAGTTGTTTAAAAACTATGAAACTTTAAACCTTTAGTTAGTTACTTTTTAATATAAACTACCAATCTTGTTCACATCAGTAAACTTACCCTGATCAACATGATCCACTCCTGGTATAAATTGCCAAGCTGCTCTCAGCCCAACTTCAAATTCTGCAGGATGCCGCAGTTCCCGAGCTATACTAGGACTAATAGGAATAGCCAAATGTATGGGAGGCATCACACTGAGATACCTATTAAAGGGTATGGTGTCTTGATTAGTTTTATTATTGTTTTGAATAGGTTTAACAGTGTCATGACTAGGTTTAACACTGTTTTGACTAGGTTTAACACTGTTTTGACTAGGTTTAACAATGTTTTGACTAGGTTTAACAGTGTCATGACTAGGTTTAACATTCATTAACAGGTTTAACACTGTCATGACTAGGTTTAACATTGTCTTGACTAGGTTTAACACTGTCTTGACTAGGTTTAACAATGTCTTGACTAGGTTTAACAATGTCTTGACTAGGTTTAACATTCGTAAACAGGTCTAATATTGTCTTGACTAGGTTTAACATTAAAGTATGATGTTGGTGACAGCATCGTGTCTTAAAGTATGATGTTGTTGGTGACAGCATCATGTGTATTAAAGTATGATGTTGTTGGTGACAGCATCGTGTATTAAAGTATGATGTTGTTGATGGCAGCATCTGTGTATTAAAGTATGATGTTGGTGACAGCATCGTGTATTAAAGTATGATGTTGTTGATGGCAGCATCTTGTGTATGAAAGTATGATGTTGTTGATGACAGCATCATGTCTTAAAGTATGATGTTGGTGACAGCATCGTGTATTAAAGTATGATGTTGGTGACAGCATCGTGTATTAAAGTATGATGTTGGTGACAGCATCGTGTATTAAAGTATGATGTTGATGGCAGCATCGTGTGTATGAAGTATGATGTTGATGGCAGCATCATGTGTATGAAAGTATGATGTTGGTGACAGCATCGTGTATTAAAGTATGATGTTGTTGATGGCAGCATCATGTATTAAAGTATGATGTTGTTGGTCATGTATGATCATACATGTAAAAAAAAAGAACATTCAATTAAATACATGTAAACAAAAAAGAACATTCAATTAAATACATGTAAACAAAAAAGAACATTCAATTAAATACATGTAAACAAAAAAAACATTCAATTAAATACATGTAAACAAGGAAAAAGAACATTCCATTAAATACATGTAAACAAGGAAAAAGAACATTCCATTAAATACATGTAAACAAGGAAAAAGAACATTCCA